AACATTAAAAAAAAAGACATGAAAATACGACATGTAGCTAAATATGTAAAGTTACTACTGTCATTTTGTCTGTGCAATGCATCTTTCTATGATTGTTGCTAATGTTGATTCACTGGCCATTTTTGACTACAGTGGAGGAAAAAGTATAACAGATACTGAGTAAAGAGACTCCTTTTACACAACCAAATGTTTTATTCACAGCTGATGTTTTGATGACCGTCTGTCACCTTCCTCTGGGCAATTCTGACTGGTTCACATTGTACTGCAGCACATAAATTCCCACATGACGAAACTATTCATGGATATAACAGATGCTATACAATATAAGAAGATGGATCAATGTTTAAGTCAAATTACGTTGTATCAGACAGAACCACTCACCTTCCCTCCAGTTTTTGTATCCTCTCCCTCCTCTTTCCCCATCTCCTGTAGCAACTTTCTGGCTACAACACACTCTGCCAGAACTTTGGCCAGGTTTGACGTCTGTGCATTCTCAAATCTTTTGTCACCAAGGACTGAAACCTGTGGAAAAGGAAATACTAGTAAGTAAGTTTCTTAATGTATCTACATGTATTTGTTCCTAAAAATAAACACAAAACTGTTCAAGAATGTTACACATTGATAGCATTTATTATCTTCAACCTAGAGAAATTACTTAAGACTTACTGGTCTAAATCTGGAAGGTGGAACTGGTAAAACTTCCAAGAAGAAGATGTCGATGGGACATGTTCCCTGTGGGACCAGCCTCAGGGCCCCGAACAGGTTGGACAAAAGTTCACCTGCAGATAAGGTAAAAGTTCTGCACTGAAATGCTTCAAGTACATGCTTCATGTGCCACAAATTAAACATATATCAAGATTCTATTTTAAGACGGTGGACTGTATATGGGCTGTATACATGATATATCAGTGGTAAAAGATCCTTAACCTCATAATGCATTTATACATGTAGAAGTACATCCCTATATATCTGTAAAATATAAAAATGAAACATTTGTAAAACACAGGACCTGCAATGGCTATAGAAGGGACCTTACCTTCATTTTTCCACAGAGCTCTAAGGTGTGCCCTGGCTTCATAGGGAGTGAGGTACCCTGATTCAACAGTGGAGTCTGTGATGACGTTCTTCACATCAAGTTTGTCAGCCAACCAGTCCTTCTGTTCCCTGCATTCAACATGGCAATTAACAAATGATTAAGGTCAAACATTTTTGTATGATATAAAATCTTATGTTTCAGACAGTCTATCTAGAATGACTCATAGACTGCATGACTATATTCCAGATTCAGGATCTTGATCCTACCATTTCTATATGTGTACCATTTCTATATGTCTAAAGACAAGAATGAGAATCAAAGGCTTTTATTCTACCTTTAGTAATAAATTACTAATATACATAAAAAAGCATTCCAAGCTTCCCTTACTATATCCTTTAGGCAGCCTATATAATCATGTATTTGCATTCATGTAATAGGAATAAACCAAGTATACAATCATTTCTTTTAAGCAAAGTACAACATTTCATGTCGTAAAAACTTTTCCCTATAATTAAAACTGTCTACTGCCAAGATCCAGATCACTTATATTGTATACTTACCCTTCTCCTATTTCGTCTTCTCCCTCTTCACCATCATCATTCCTCTTCTTAAAGTGTCTTTTAGGTATTCCCTTGAACAGGATTCTACTGTTGTGTTGCATTTTGAGGTTTCTGACTGGGCTTTTACAGTGAAGACACCTCGTTCCCCTTTTCTTGAAGTAGTCCTTTGTAAATTCCTTCACTAGATCTTTCCTCTTCCCAACGGCAGTTTTCATGTTTTGTTGTGTCTGGGTCATTTTTGTGTCCACCCCTAGGATGGATCAAAACGAGAGAAACACAGCGGTTAGTTCAGCTTGACATATCTTACCAATCTAGTACTAGATGCAACACTTGATATACATCTACTACCAGGTTAATACACATAAAAGCATGTTACATGTTAAGCCTCTCAAACAATGACTTAAAAAAGTCTTGGATGACTCAAATTCAAAATATCTCCACTTCAATAGTGCCTAACTGAGCCACAGGTTACAAAAGACATGTGTCATGAAACATAGTGTATATTGTCAACTTAAAAAGGTACTGGACTCAAGTCAGAAATCTGGGACAGTGCTAACCTTTTAAGACAAATCAAATAAATATATGGCTTACAAATGTATGAATGTAGCTGTAGTTAATACTTGAAGCTTAAAGGAAATCAATGGTTATGTGTATCTATTACCACCTGATCTGTACTTAATTTCAAAGTATTTTGTAACATTTGACATCACATTTAATTTTGTGTGGGGTTTTGCCCCCAGGAGCCTTTGAAAATCGCCATCAGATGACATGTGTTCTCCTGGGTAAATAGATAAACAAACAAACAAACAAACAAACAAACAAGTATTTCTGATATTCTACTGGTGCTCATGATACAGAACTAGTACGGTATGTCTCCAGCCAAAGAAAGGTCCTTACCACTGATGGCTTTCTGTGCCTCCTCTTGCAGCTGCTGGGCGATGTAGTCATCATCAGCCTCCCCCTCCTCCTCCAGGATACCACTCAGCACCCCGTGTAGCTTCTCTACCATCTGCACCAGCCCATGGTCTAATACCTACAGGTTTGCAACACAGAATTAAAAAACAAAGCCAAATAGCTGTATCTGTACAGAGGATATACTAGTAGCTGTCATTCAGCATAACACAGTCAACTCCTTTGCAGCAATACAGTAATGACTGGTTATATTACATTGAACAACCTGCCACACTGAACCTTCGCACATCTAACTGTATACATAAGCATTGTTTAAAGCTGAGGATACCCCTGGTGTACACAACTAGAGTACATTTGGTAGACGTGACAGTGTCATTTTCATTGGTGAATTTATAATAAAGAATGGTGTAAAATCAACTTACCTTGAGTTGACTAGTAATGAGCTGAGCCTGAATCTTGGGGCACATCAGTCTGTGGCAGTAGAAACATGATCCTCTCAGCATCTGGAATAAAACGTTTTGTACAGATGAAAAGATGGAAAATATGACTTCATATACCGGTAGAATAACATTCTTGATAATTTCTGCATCAATAAATACTGTTCTCTAGAAGTCTGTTGATGTTATGTTATGGGAAATCAAAAACTAAAACTTCATACCATACCACTGTACATTCATACCACTGTCTGTTCACTTAGAAGTTAAAATCTAGAAGTTGATATAAAAAATGCCTACATGTATATAATGGTACTAGTTCTGACCTGATACAGCAGTCTGAGGAAGAGAGGGTTGAAGACTGGGAGTGGTAGGTTTACATGGCCCATGTGACCAGGACAGTGTAAGTAGTTCTGTGCACAGGTGCCACACAGGTCATCTCTGTCTGTTGGACCTATGGAGATAGAAGCAACATCAGCCTAACTGGGTCTATTATATAATGTATGGGACTATAAATCATAATCTAGAAATAACACATAAAATAGTTGTCAACAGAAAATCATCTGAAAGTAGATGAGCACGATAATGCAAGTACTAGTAAGTGTTTAATGAGGGCCTGCATGGGGGGTAGTGATTACAAATTACGCAAAATTTTTTCCACCGATTACAAATTACGTTAAAGTCTCAGAGCTGATTACGACTTAATACTTTGCTGCTAATGTACTATTAGTATTACAAATAAAATTCATTTTTGGGGAGGCTACGGATTATGAAAAAAGGCCTGATTAGGTCTTTTTACGAAAAGGCCTTTTTACGAAAAAGGGCATGCAGGCCCCCTTAAATAGTTTGTATTCAAGACTTATCTTTGTTTCTGGCTACTCTTCTAAATGGTACTAGTAATTGGTATCATTAGAGGCCAATACACACAAAAAAAGCAAAAAACGATTTCTTATTTTATCTTATTTTCTGGTAAGATAAGCAGATGTTTTACCGAGTGCTGGATCGTACAGTCCCCCGGTGGTTGGGTGCAGGAGGTTGTCGAATGTCTGAGGGTTGGTGATCTCCTTCACACTCAGTCTGCAGATCTCCTCTGCACTGTAGGTACTGAACTGTACCCCAGACAGGCGCTGGGACGGGATCTCCCACGTTAACATCTGGGAGACCTGGCATCATGAGGTAACATTATAAGTTACTAGTATTTGAATGTTGTAAGTGTAGGTACATGTACAATGTATTGAGGAATTTAGAAGAGATTTTGAAAGGGGCTTTGAAAAGGGGTGTTGAGTAGAACAAATATTTGGTATGTTGAATAGAATTTAACTTTTCATCTGACAAGAAAACTGACTCATAAAACAAAGAATTTTCATACTTGTTTTCTTGATGTTGAATCAAAAGTTCAGACATACCCGTAAGTCAAATTGATCATCATGATCATAATTTTATGATCGTCTAAAAATATGATATTTCCTAAATCCCTACACAGATGAGCTTATAAATTTATGTTTTATGCTGTGGTGGCCATATCACGATGCACTAACCATACATATTCGTCGTATCTTTATGTCCCCATTGTTCACTTTCCATTGATATTACTAATCTTATACCACGCTACGTATAAATTTACTAGTCTAAGCCCCCCTCCCCCGGCATTCCTCGTCACGATATTAAACTTTCTTGCCTACGCGCTACAGATTAATCTGCAACATCTGGGAGTGCATCTGCAATGTTTTCAGTTTACCAAATACCCTTTTCTAATACTCACGTTTTTGCAGTTCTTCAAGACGAGAAACTTTTGAACTTTTTCACGTGCTGCCTTGCAAACACCAGTGGGCAGCCATGTTGGAATCTACAACTGCAGAGTGGGAGGCTCCCGTCTCCCAGCACGAAGGGAAAATAAAATACCACACAATATTTGTCGTTTTCAAATCAAAATCAAGAATAGTACTATGTTTTGCATGAGTTTGTCTTTAAAACTGCTGAAATGTACAAAGAAACAACATTTATGCTAAATTTACAGGTTACGTAATTCCCCCTGTCACGCAATGGTTTGACCGTAGATTAAAGAGAAAAGTGACCTTCATACGTGCAAAGCTACCCGTTGCTGATGCAGCGAACACGTTATACCTGTTGAAAGAAAACATTGACAGCTCACAATCGTAATCATATCAAGCATAATGTTACGAAGCCTCTCTAGACAACTTTTGGTGAGTGTTCAATTAATATATTTAACGTTATGTTGTTATCAAAAATGATGTCCTATTGATATAAATTTCTTGAGTTCTTGTGAATTGCAAAATCTGATGCATTTGATGTTTCCATTCCTTGGCAAATCATTCAAGTTTCATAGTTTTGAGATGCAAAACATAAGTTCAATATTAAAAAATATTTTTCTTTGTCACCAAAACACATGTCTTGGTAGAGAAAGAACATTCAAAATTTATAATCATGTCCTTATAATATATGATATATGAATTTATGATATGTGTACAGGTGTCTGTGATGAGACAACGTTGGTACTGCACATCAACAGATGGAGAAACACGGATAGCCAACATCCTCAAAGTCAAGTTTCCTGGAGCAATAGAAATCAAGGTCGATGACATATCAGGTACAACATGAAGCACAATGACATCAGTGACAGTCCATGGTGTATGTGATCACTAAGTAACAATCTTGACTATACATTTACAGCAAATGTGTAGAACTTCCAATTGTTAGCAGGAAAGCGAGCATAGACTTTGGTTAGTCTATAGGCATAGCCATCTGTGTATAACATTATATGTAGCCTCTACCAGGCTTGGGGAAGCATCTGGAAAGAGTAGAAATTGGCCGAATACTAGTAGTATACTTTGTCTATTTGGCCAATTCTACTCTTTCCAACCCCTTCCCGAAGCCTGGTACAGGCTAACATTACATAT